AAACCCATGGACTGTGTCCAACAGGTGTCTCTGTGTGTTGGTCTCAGCGTGCAAAAGCAGACTGACTGCGCCTGATTTTCCGAGACAGTTGTGGGTGACCCTCCCTAACGGCTTGGGTTTGGATCCATCAGGTAGCCTCAGCCGTCCCTTCCCAGTGCCCACGGCCCCGGCCCCGCTCGCTTCGTTTCTGCAGCATCCTTCCGCTTTCACCTCTGGGCCTTTGCACTTCCTCTTCATCCTGCTTGAATGCCCTCTCCACCGAACTGTCACGACTGGGATCGCCGCCTCTTCCCCAGAGCCTCGAGCTGCAGTCGCCGCCCCTCTCCTAGCAAATCAGTCTGTATGAAACCGAACTACTCCATTCCCTTTCTGGTGTTTGTCTGTTCTTGAAATAGCCTATTTATTTGTTTATATGTATTTTTTCCTACATGACTTTAGTTCCTTGCAGGGAGGGACTAAGTCTTTTCATATTCAGCACTGTTTCCTTAGCACATAGAATGTCAGTGCCTGACCCACAATGGACTCTCAAAAGACATCCATGGGACCTTCCTGGTGGCCCGTGCTTAAGACTCTGTGCTTACAATGCTTTCATAGGTTCGATCCCTGGTCGAGGAAATAAGATCCCACGTTCTGCGCAGTGCAGCCAAGAAAAGAAAGAAAGCCATGAACTTTCCAGCATGTTGACTCTCAATGTATCCTCCTGTATACGATCAGGATGATATTACTCTCAGCCTGCTCTTAGGGGCTGAGGGAATGCATGCATCCAAGTTCCCTGCTTGGTGCTCAATGAATAGGAGCTCTTCTGATCATCATAGGCTGCTTTTCTTTTCACTTCCCAAGGGCTTGAAAAAATGTTTCACTGAACACAGTCTTAGCAGCAAAGTGGTCCCCAAAGCACTGCCTTGCCTGCCCTGAGCCTTGGGGAAAATAATCACATTTTCTATCTAAGGGTGATGTAACACCGCCACTAAAGAAGTTTATCTATTTAGCCCTATCCATCATGTGTCTCTCCCACCCCTCCCTTGCTGGGAAGGCGCTCACATTTACCACGCGTGTGATAAGCACCGCTGTATTTCTGTCTGCCATGTGATTGATCTTTCGCTAACAGATCAGCTCGGCTGGCGGCGCGGCTGCTGTCCCGTTGCTCCTCGTCAGATGGAGGCGTGGCTGGCCGCCCTGCAGACCAGTGCAGGGAGACGGCCCCGAGAGCTCCGGCAGGGTCCTCTTTGCACAAAGCTGGGCTCCGTTGAAAAGACCCCAGGCACGGCTGTGGCTCGCTCCTCCCAGAGAGGTGGTGGCATTTTCATCTGCCCTGGGATTGGGCCCAGACGATTTGTGCCTTCCCGACTGCTTCCTTTGCGTCCTGGAACTCTCAGAGATCAGAACCCAGCACGGCTCAGGGGTCGGGAAGCCAGGGCCTCCTGGGGTCTCAGTTTGGCCTATTTGTGACTAATTATGATCACAAAAGGATTGAAGAAGGGTCTTCGAACACGGTAGCAGTTAAAATAGTCACACTCTGTTAGGCTCCCCTCCCTCCCTGCCCCGTTCACGCCGTAAGGAGAGGTCTGCAGGGCCGGGGTTTCTTGGACGACCTCCAGCAGCCCTGTAGACAGAACCCAGCAAACTCTCCTCACTTTGATGTTGGTGATGAGCGTGAACGTTTATGAAACCTTCCCAGGTGCTCGGCTCTGTTGATCACTTGGCATATGGTGGACTCATTCTTCCAGGAATAATGAGTGAGGAAGCAGGTCCAAGACCGATCTGGTGGGAGTGCGTGCAGACTGTAGAGACAGGATCGTGACTGGGAGATTCCGAAGGTGTACTGTGGGTGTGCTCAGGCACACCCTCTGGACCGTAGCCTGCCAAGTTCCTCTGTCCATGGGATTTTCCCGGCAAGAAGACTGGAGTGGGTTGCCATTCCCTCCTCCAGGGGATCTTCCTGACTTGGGGATCGAACACGTGTCTCTTACATCTCTTGCATTGGCAGGCGGGTTTTTTCTCCCTAGTGCCACCTAGGAAGGGGTGGGGTTGGCATTATCCAGTACTTAAACTAATTCAGCCCTTTCCTGCAAGATATTCCTTTCACCAACCTTGCAAGTCAGGTCACCTCTTACCTACATTTTTGCAGGTGAAAATTGAGATCCAAGAAGATTTAGTAGCCCATCCAAGATTGTACACGGTTACTAGAGGGGCAAGCCCAGGATTTAAATCAGGTTTGTCTGACTTCAGGCTCTCATTGTGTATAGGGATGGTCTGAAAAGGTCAGTCTTCTATGCAGACAGAGGGACGAAAAAGATGCCAGACAGAAGGGTTTTTCCTCTGAGCCTTATAGTTTTCTTCTATGACTAATGCAAAGGCAAGTCTGTCTATACACGCACACACACCCTTAAGAGTAAAACTAGACAACCTTTGCAAAGCACCATGAAGCCAAAAAGACTGAACTATTCAAGGCATCCACTTGATCATTATTTCAGCTTCTACACGTTATCTTTATAGTCTATTGAATTAGTAAGAGAAGTGACTACTTCTTGACACTGACAGAGAAGTACACTGCATATTATAGAAATGGCTCTGTGCAAACCCATCAGATTGGTATAGAGACACAAATTCATACTTTTCACCATCGTAACCCATAATCGTAACCCAACATCCATTCAAATTAAAGCACTGTAACTCTTTTTAGAAGTAGAAGAAAAAAAATAACTTGCTGCCTTTTGCTGGTTGATTTACTGGTACATGACAATATTGGGCATATTAAATTTTTATATTGGCTCTGTCTTTTTCACCATAAGCTTTGTGCTGAGGAGCTTAGAAATTATTTCACTTTAAAAAGGACATTTATTGCACTGTATAGGCAGGTAGGTAATTCTGTCCTCTGAGAAACTCATGGATTATTTTCCTTCTGAGACATGAGAACTTTTGATTTGTACTAGTTGTGTCATTTGGATGCAAAGGAAGGGTGATTTATTGTTTCCACTGGCATAAATAATGCTCTGTTTGTTTCTGCACTGTTTTCCAACACCCGCTGTGGATAATGTCTCACAGTTTGCTAGGCAGATAACTCAGCCTGTTACTGTAAATGTCTAGGAGAGAGAAGGGGAAAACAGCTTTCGATTTCAGCCTAAGGTTCTAATGCATCCCCAGTCATCTTAGAAAGAGATAATCCAGTTATGGTGGCCAGTGCTACGAAGCACACGTTCTTTCTGTAGAACTCTTTAGGGAGCATGTCAACCTTCTTGCCCTTACAGCGAGATAATTTCCGGGATAATCTATGCTTTTCTATCAAAGACGAGACATCTCTTTAACTGTGACTACTCTGCGCCCACCCATGTCTCCCATTCCCTTCTTCTCTGACTTCTTATCACCAGTTTTAAGAAACATATGCCTGTCTCTGAAAGTATCATGTGAGAATTCTAGCATTACGCAACTTTTGGGGATCTCTACAGAATAGATATGACAGAAACCATTGGTTGCTGATCCAATGTCCCTCTTCTTTTTTTATTTAGTTATAAAAACTGATTTTATTTGGAGTGGCAATATGCTAGCCTGAGATATGAATTTTCCAGCCTCCATTATAAATTAATGTGACCATTCTGGATAATGACATGGAAACAGAAATTATTGGGTAGATCCTCTGAAAACTACAACTCTGAGACAGAAAATTGGTAGAGGTCCATTTTTTTTTCCTTTCCATAACTTCTGCTATCTGTTGGATTTTGGACAGATGGCCAGATCTCTAGCAGCCATATTGGAAAAGGAGGCAATCTTCAGTTCTTGTAATAAGGGGAGTAGAAAGAATGAAAGAAGAATCCTGGATGCCTGATGGTGTAGTGGAGCCACTATGCCAAACCGAGCACCACCTACCTTAGGACGCTTTATAAGTGAGAGAACGCATTTCTACTTTATTTAAGCAAGTATACCCATGTGCTATTATGTCCACCTGGGTAAGCCAGTCTCCACAATGTGAAGACATTGATGTATCTTATGGGGAGGTCCACACAGTAAGGCATGATGTTGTCCTGCCAATGGCCAGCATTGACTTGTCAGTTGTGGGAGGGAAACCCTGGCTGGCAGCTTGCCTATGACCTCATAAGAGACTCCAAGCCAGCCAAGCTGCTCCTGAACCCCCGACCCTTAGAAACTGTATGAGATATTAAGTGTTTATTATTAGTTTAAGCTGCTACAGTAGTATATAAATAAGACAGACTTTAGGATTCGGTTTGTATTCTTGTGTATCTATTTTTAAACTGATGGGTTAGGTGACTAACACAAAACCTTGATATTCTGAAACCCTATATATGAAAATATCCACAAAGGGATTAAAATGCTTCTCGTTTGCAAGACATCATAGTTAAATATGGTTGCAGACTTAACAGCTTTTTAGCCATCCTTATGGATATAGCAGATAATGATCCTCATGAATTTCACATTCCACTAAACAGGCATTTTCTTGACCTAGACTAAAAAACCCATGTTCTCCTCACCTACTCTCTCACCATGAAGGTCCCCCTCCCAGCCCCAGAAGGCTGATGTGACCCAGATCATAGAGGACTGAGGCTTCTCAGAGCATTTTTCTCTCCTTCTTAACGAAATTTGGTGTTTTGCAGGGAAAACCAGCCTTTGGAAAGGAAAATGCCTTCCCCAATCTCAAATTCAATCTAACTTGGGAGAATGAAACTGCCTTCCCGATTTAAGGTGAGGTCTGCCTGCTTACTGCTCGAATTCTCTGATGATGGGCCCCAGATCGTTTCCTGATTTTCATAAACACGTGACATTTCCAGACACCTGGCTTAGCTTTACAGTGGCCAGCACCTTCCTCACAGATCATGCACTCAACTTCAGCCTTTGTGAAGCTTTTATAATCTGTCCATCACGACCCCAGTGACCCCTGAGCAATATAAGGGGCTGTCTGAAGAGCTGCAGATCATGATGCTTATGCCTGTACTGTCCTTGGGCAGCACCTTTTAAACTGGATATTAAGTCTCAGTGGGCTTCCGCAGCGACTCTGCGGTAAAGAATCTGTCTGAGATGTAGGAGGCCTGAGTTCGATCTCTGGGTGGGGAAGATCCCCTGGAGAAGGGCATGGCAACCCACTCCAGTATTCCTGCCTGGAGAATCCCATGGACAGAGGAGCCTGGCGGGCTACAGTCCATGGGGTCGCAGAGAGTGAGGCATGAAGCAGCTGAGCACGCACAGACCCATAAAGTTTCGGTACCGGAGGTTTATTAGTCAACTGGTTATGATCACCTACCAACAGTGTTCCGTCCTATGATGACCCAGGTCCTGTCTGCCCGGGGTTCTGCCTGCCCAGGGCTGCAGGATAGCAGCCCTGCGGCGTTGGCGAAACTGGGAATGTCGCACTAGTGGCAGGGGGAGGGGGCCGCTGAGGGTTTCTGGGCCAGCCGCGCGTCTGTCGCAACATCAGAAGTGAAGACTGTCGTATCCACAGGGCAATCCATTACCCTTCACTGCAAACCTGTCGATTCATTCTGAGATTCCCGTTGTGACTACACTCTGTTGATAAATATCAGAGACTTTGGCAGAGTAATGGCAAATTGTCCAGCTGAATTTATTTACATTCCCCTGGATAATCTATCTCCCGGCCTAAAGCTATCATCATCACTTACAGACTGCCTTTTAATTTGGACTTTGTCATTCTCCTCTTTCTCTTCTGCTTCGTCTTCCCCTTTTCTGTGCATTTGCTGGCAGATTAGAGCATTCCTTGTGGCTCAGACAGTAAAGAATCCGCCTGCGATGCAGGAGCCCTGGGTTCCATCTCTGGGTCAGGAAGATCCCCTGGAGGAGGGCGTGGCAACCCACTCCAGTATTCTTGTCTGGAAAATCCCATGGACAGAGGAGCCTGGTGGGCCACAGTCCACAGGGTTGCAAAGTCATACAAGACTGAGCGACTAACACTTAATTAAAAATAAACTCTTGACTCCATTATTAGTTAGTTGGACTCACTCTCTCTTTCTCTCTCCTTCTCTCCTTCCCTTCTTTCTTCCTTCCTTCAATCTTTTTTTAAGGGGTGTTGAATTTTATGGTTTGCAGACTATGGAAGACAGAGAAGCAGTCATTTTTGGTTTTGCGCTATGCTAGAACATTTGGAGGCTATATATGTATCCCAGCACCACCCCGCCACAAGGCTACTTAGGAATATGCATTTGTGATAACACTGGTTGATAGACTAGAAGCTGGGATTGTCTGATCAGAGCTCCTTCTAGAGGAAGGAGGAAGTTGTACACCAGTAGCTTTGGTGTCATCCTGGTGGCTCAGATGGCAAAGAATCCATCTGCGATGCAGGAGATCCTGGTTCGATCCCTGGGTCAGGAAGATCCCCTGGAGGAGGGAACGGCAACCCACTCCAGTACTCTTGCCTGGGAAATCCCATGGACAGAGGAGCCTGGCGGGCTACAGTCCATGGGGTCGCAAAGAGTTGGACAGGACTGAACTATTAACACTTCCGCTTTCTTTCAAAGTTAAGTCATCTGGTGGCAGATCTGGTTGGAAAGGTTTTTTGTTTGGCTGGGAGTGAGATGAGTGAGGGAGAAAGAAAAAAGCCTGGTTAAGATACTGTTTCACTCTTGCTGAACAGACAGCATAAAGGGAATGTCCCACTTACGAGATATCCCGTCCATGGTCATTAAAGAGTGACTGCTTTCTTTTCTTTTAAGAACAGGAGCCTTATTTCAGGCTCTCATCCTGTGTCTAAGGTAGCGATCTCAAAGCAGCACGAAATAGGTGGCAGTGAGCAATTCAGACGCAGTTTATTTCCCGAGCTCAGCTTGCGTATCTGTATCAGCTTCACTTTCCCGAGCTCAGCTTGTGTATCTGTATCAGCTTCACTTTAAACCATTATCAAGTGAGCATATGAATGCACATACACAGTAACATATAAAAATAAATCCATAATGTATGTATTTTCTGATCTCTCTTTCTCCCGTCACCAGCACCTTCACTGTCAGAGGAAATCAACCTTAACCCACTGATGGTTTTGACTGAGATGAAGAGTATTTGTGTTTTTTATGTTTGCAGAAACCAAATGAGACAAGCATCCTGAGTCAGCTGGGTTGCTCTGAGACCCATCAGAGCATCAGAAGAGCAGACCCTGCCTCCACGAGAGTTGTAATAACAACGACAGCTGTCGTTCAGGGCGTTCCGACTGTGTACCAGGCTCACAGTGGTTTTCATTTGTCAGCTGACTTCCTCCTCCCATCAGCCTTGTGAGGTTGGTGGCTGGAGAACTGAGTAGTCAGCCAGTGGGAGAGGATCACCAGCTACACCAAAGTGTCCTAAGGATCAAGAGTAACCAGTGAATCTCCTTTCTTTCTTATCTTCCCAATAAAGCTCTCACTTTCTTCACACAAGTCCTTCCGGATGCTTTTTTGGACATCTGGGTTTGCAAGTCCTACCCAAGTCCACTGGGTCATCGACGTTTGACTTGGGCAGAGAGACATGTAATGCGAGCCATTGTCCCTGTTCCGAAGGCCTTTCTGGGTAACTCTCAGAGACGGCTCTGTGGGGCCTGCCTTGGATACACTGCATTTCATAGAGCAGGAACTCGGTCCACTTTCAGAAAACTCAGGTTACTACCAGTGTGGTTGTTCAGTCACTAAGTCATGCCCGACTCTGTGACCCCAAGGGCTGAAGCATTCCAGGCTGCCCGTCCTTCTCCATCTTGGACGTTCGCTCAAGTTCATGTCCATTGAATCAATGATGCCATCCAACCATCTCATCTTCTGCTGCCCTCTTACTCCATAAACAGTGACTAGGTTGAAATGAAATCATTTATGAATTAAATGAAAAAAAATAGAAGGTGTCTGTTGGAAGTCAGGCACTTTTCTAGGCATTGGGGATATATGTGCTAAGTTCTGCCTGTAATTATGGGGGTGATGGACTAGCAGGTGAATGCATATGATACATAAAGCAAACAGGAAATAAGATAATAGGAAGTATATGAAGAAAATAAAATTCATGGCTGTAATAATGGGGAGAGGGCTTACTTTGCACCGGGTGGCCTGGAAGACTTCTCCAAGGAGGAACTGAATGAATATGACTGGTGTAGCCCACTGTCTTGCCGTAGGTGAGAACCCCACACATGCTATTATACTAACAAAAAGAAGTGTAATTATTTACTTCTGTTACATTCATTGGAATTTGCAACCTGAAGGTGGTTATAATTATCCCCATTATTCTCTTTTCTGCAGCTTCCAAGTAATGGAGCAAATGATAAAGCAATGTGCTTAGAGAAGACAACTTTATTTTTCTTCTTGTACATTGACCTTGCTAGAAATCAGAGAAGGAGGTCAGACCTGGATTGAATGCGGACACTGGAATTATCCTCAAGGGGAGGCTTCACGTGGAGACGTTTCCTTCTGGGATTCTGGGATCTGCTGTGATTCCCTGGGTATAAATAGATGGGAGTTGAAACGGACTCATTTCTGGATACTAGTGAAATGGGGCCTCTTTTGTGGCATGACGGCACTCAGGATAACATCCCCTAAGTGAGGGGGGGTTGCTCGGGAAAGCCCAGAACTGTGCGGGGAGACCTCTGGACCCGGTCCTGTGGGGCAGGTGAAGGGCGTCAGGGCTCAGCCCCGCATGGGGCGTCTGCTTGAGGCCCCGGTCTACTCCTTCTCTGCCTCCAGGGGCCGCCTGCTCCTGCAGCTTTGGCCCCTTCCCTCCTCACCTGTCACCCGTCACCTCTCCAGCTCCGCTGCCATCGTCTCCTCTAGGCCCCCAGCAGCTCTCTCCCATGGGTCCCCCACCAGCTTCACTTGATGCTCTTGAGTCTGGTCGTTTTTAAATGTTAGGATCTTCAAGGACTAAAACCAGATCACTTTCTCTTTAGTACACCGTGAACTTTTGGCAATTCCTAAGTTATGGATGGAGGACTCCTTGGAGCATCCTTGGAGATGCTTGCTTCTGTAGTCTGTGGACTGGATGAATAATGCGTTCTAATCTGTGAAGGTGGCTGTACCAAAGTGCCATGGACTGGGTGGCTTATAAACAACAGAAGCCATTCAAAAGCTTCAAAGTCCAAAGTTACAGAGCTGGCATGGCTGGGTTCTAATAAGGCTCTTCTTCCAGACTGCAGATGTCTGAAGGGCTTGGGAGCTCGGTGGAGTCTCTTTTAAAACATTAATCCTGTTCATGGGGGCTCTATCCTCATGACTTGGTTACCTCTCAGATACCTCTGAATACCCACATACTGTGGGCTGGGGGCTTCAACACATTAAAAGTTTGGCATGAAACAAGAACATTCAGTCCGTAACGATGTGTCAAAAATAGGTGCACAAACGTTTTCAAATGTAAATACTGTTTTGATTATTGGAGTAGGAAATAGCAACCCACTCCAGTACTCTTGCCTGGGAAATTCCACAAACAGAGGAGCTTGGCGGGCTACGGTGCATATGGTCACAAAAGAGTCGGACACGACTGAAGGGACTTCATCCAAGTATGCGCTGTTTTGATTACAAGATGCAAATTTATTTTAAAGAATAGCTGAATTGATTTTTCCATTGTATACTTTAAAAATCCACAAATAGATCTTTTATCCTACAGTGGCCCGTGATAGCTCGCTCATCTAGTAATGTGTCTGCAGACTTGAAAGGGGGTCTTGGATCGCTACCAGCAGGATGAGGCCTGAGATGGATGATTTGATTAACACCTGCTAATCCCCTGGTGCTCCATAAATGTACCTGCCAGTTCAGACCCCTGGTTGTGGGTTTGCGGAGGGGCCAGTGAAGTCAACAGTGCTGTGAGCCCTGAGGTAGGTCGAGGCACGGAGAAGCAAGTTCCATGGCCTCTGGCCTCCTCTGTGCAGAGGGATAAACTAGCCTGGGCCCCATTCAGACGTCATTTTCATCTTGGACCTTTGGGGGAGTGCTCAGTTAACACAGCAAACACAGGAGGATTTTACACGGCAGTTTCCAACAATTTGCATTCGTGTGAAGGGTTGTGTCGGAGCTGTTTCCATCTCTGCTTGCTCTGTTTATTCAGCATGAGGGTCTGGAACATGCAGTCCTGCTGGCTTTTATCAGCTACGCCATCTCAAGGTACTACAGGGAAGATCTTTATTATTAGCATAATAAGAGGGAAGCGGGCTGCTTGTGGCAACTGTCTGCCTATTTATAGAGCTTGCTCGGTGTTATGTACTGGCTGCTAATTAAAGCTCAGCTGTCAGCGGCAAGACAGGAAAGGAGGAAGCCTTCTCAGCGAACAGGGCGGGCCGGTGGGACAGCGGTCAGGGTGCCTGCTTGGTCCAAGTCTCCCTGCCGGGGGATGGAGCGTCCCGAAGAGCTTCTGCTCCGTGGGTTTCTTGCTGCAAGAGAACCAAGCAAGCCCGCGCTCACTTCTGGGGAGAGAACGCCTGCGCCTGTATCTGCTCTTCCCATCCTTCTTGTCCTGGCAGGAGGGGACTGCATCTTTGCTCGCTGAGGCATCCCTGAGGGTGGCCAGGACTAGCTCTGAGGGGTGCAGAGAAGGAGGGTCAGAGGGGAAGGGAAGGAGACTTTGCTTCCTCGGGATTGTCTTTAATCTTTGCATTAGTGCAATTTTAAAAAAGTTATTGCTATATGTATGTGATATAAAATATAATAGTGCAAATATTCAAATATTTACCAAGTCTGTAGGCAAAGTGGACGTTTCCTTTCATGAACCCACCGGATCCCACTTTCTCCTCTAGAGATTGTCATAAGCATCAGTTTGTTCCATGTCTATAACCCATCTATTTATATATATATCTTTTTAAAGATATGTATAAATAAAATATGCATATATTTTATATAAAATATATAAATAAAATAAAATTTTGTATATATACATAAATTTTTTTTTAATATATGCAGTAGATTCACACTGTTTATACTGCTTTTTCTAGTTATTATGTCTTGAACATCTTTCCATGAGAGGAAATACAGTGTTATTACATGATGTCCTAACTCATTTGAGATAACTGCTCCATACTATTTCCATTATGGACGTTCAGTTCAGTTCAGTTCAGGTGCTCAGTCGTGTCCGACTCTTTGCGAGCCCATGAATCGCAGCACGCCAGGCCTCCCTGTCCATCACCAACTCCCGGAGTTTNAGTTGATAATTCTTTTATTCACAACATTCTTTTAGGCTTTTGAGGAAGAGTCTGATCAGGATTCCAGCCCTTTATATTTTCTTTCTTTTCCTCCTAATTTCTGCTTTTCTTACTTTCCCCCATGTGAGAGGCTGAGTATTTCACCACTAAGCTTTGTTTAGCTCACAGGTAACCTCCTGACCAGGCCCACCTGTCAAAGGCTGTGAGAAAGTGGAAACTGACCCATCCGCTCTGGAGTCTACCTGGAACCAGGACTTTACTCCCTCCCCTGGTAGTATTGAAGAAGCCTGGGTTCTAACTGGGGGAGGATGGTTCTTTGAGACACTAGTTCACCACCTTCTTGGTCTGCTGACTTTCTGAATAAAGCCACTATTCCTGGCCCCAACATTTAATCTCTTGATTTATTGGCTGTCAAGCTTGGACTTGATAACAAGAGCACCCCAGGTCAATAGATTGACCTTCTGGCCCGTAGGTCACATTCGCCCACTCCTAAATAATGAAAGCAGAGGTAAAGTGCTTGGTTTGCCTCGGAGTGGCAGTGTGGAGAATGTGCAGTGGACTAAGGCCACGGACAGGCAAATCCTTAGATACGTTTTAAAACAAGCAGCATGTACTGCTCTGCACCTTGCCTTTTTAATTTACCAATATGTTCTGGCCATCCTTCATTGTTGGTGGAGCTAGAACATCTCTTTCTCTTAGTAGCTGCAAGGGATTCCACTAAGAGATGCTCTATAATTTAATTTACTCTTGTCTTACTGACCGACTTGCACGTTGTTTCAAAGTTGTCACTGAATTAAAAAAAAAAAAAGGCTTGGATAGTGTGAAATGAAAATATCAGGTGCCATATCAATAACCAAGAAATGTCCCAGCCATCAGCGATTTCTAGCCTTGCAGTCTAGTAGATGCTGCCACCACCACAGTGATTGCTGAGGAGCTGGGGGAATGCAGGGAGCAAGGGGAACAAGGAAGAGGGACTGGCCCCAGACAGCTGAGGTGCAATGGATTCGGTGAGCCCAGAGGCTTGCATCTTCTCACACAGAGGACGCTAAGTTCCTTAACTTGACACGGGGTCTTTGACTTCCTCAGACTGCCCGCTCCCTTTGCTGCAAACCTGTATACTGCCTGACCTCCCTTCCTGCCTCCTTGGAGCAGTTTTCTCAGCCCTCTGAGATGCTGTCAGTATCGGACCCCAGCTCCGAGTCCTAAACAGAAATAAAATAAAAGAAAACAAATAAATA